CCCCAAAACCCCAAAACCCCAAAACCCCAAAACCCCAAAACCCCTTTAAATTATTAAAATAATGAATAACTTCAGAATAAAGAGGGACAATAAAAATATTTTAGCTTTCTCAAAGGTCAGTGCGCAGAGTGACTCTCAGAGGGGATTTTAGGGTTATATGGTTTGATAATGGTGGTCTTAGAGAGTTTGGGTTAACTTTGAGTATAGAAATATGCACTTAAGGATATACCTAATGTTTTAAAGGTAAGCAAATCAGAGGTGGTTTAACAAAGTTTGACTATTACCAGGAATAGAATCTTTTCATATGAGTCAATCGTTGTAGATACCAAGCACCTTATTCTCTAGAGTGGTCAACCTTAAGTTATTTTCTACATTAAATGACAATTAAGGACTCTTCAGATGTTTGAAGCCATAATCCTTCATGGTACTGCTTATTCCAAAGATGTACTCATGAGCTTATAAAATGATTTTACTGTCCTTTCAAGGTTGCTGAAATAATTATTAATCACTTTGAAAAATCGGAATAATTTTTATAGAGCAAAGCTGAACCTATTAATTCTGCAAGAATAATAACTAAGTACAAAAAGAAGGTGAAAGTGCCCTTCTCTCCTCAGAATTCAGGGTGGACAAAATAACTCTGCAAGGCCGCAGACTAGGAAGTCAGGTCAATTTGAGATTGAGAATTCTCCAGCTCTTCAAAGGTACACACTTTCCGGTGAAATATAGATCTGGTCAGAGACTCAAAAGTGTTCAAGGAAGTCGCAGGGCAAAGGTATTTCATAGCCCTAGGATAAGCTCACTTGTTAAGAACGACCAGGAATTATCGTTTATTAAGCCAAAGAATGGGAGAAATAGTCAAGCTTGGTCTAATTTGATCATTAAGAAGTCGCCTTCTCTTAAAATAAAAAATCAGGAGAGATGAAGAGATGATATTATCCCAACGACTAATATTATCTCGAATGAATATAATTTTCCTTCAAGGTAAGAATCTGTATAATCCTTTAGCCAATACCTCAAGCGAGGATCTCAGGTTAGCAAGAATATGCTCCAAAGCTCGGCATGACAAAAAATTTTCCCGTTTTACAGGAAGACTTCCAAATATGAAAATCCTGGGAGGCTCCAAAAGTTGGCTATCCCAAACTTGAAAAATAAACAGCGTTTGAAAATAAGGAATTTCCTTCCAAGCAAGACATCATATCCTGCTCAAGCTCAGAATCCTAAGATTAGGAGTAAGAGGATGAAATTTTCAGATGCGAGGGTAAATGCTTCAGAGATTCCAGAAGATCCTATTCAGAGGTAGTTTGTATCCTCACCCATAGAGTTCCTCAGACCCCTTATCTAGCAGGTACCTCCAACTTTGCAGTAAAGCCGATGCGTGAAGAGGGAGAAGATGAGGTATCCCTCAACATGTTCTTCTACCAAAGACTCAGTTGCTAATTTTTCAACCTTTCAGGCCTGAAAAGGGGCCTTACAGATTTCCATCTAGAAGCAGGAGTATAATAATTTTGCCCTGAGAATGCAATAATGAGCTATTTACTTCTTAGACTTTTTCCCTTTCTTTCCCTTCTTGGCATCCTTCTTCTTGGACTTCTTTGGCTTAGAGTCTTTTCCAGCTTTCTCCTTCATTAATCTCTTGAGGAGCTTGGCCTCTTCGATCAAGAAGGCTCTCACGATTTTATATTTTACTGTTCTGTGAGAGAGGACTCCTCCATATGGTCTGGAGACGGTTCTGGTGTTGTGGTTTAGTCTTCTGAAAGCACCTGGTCTGAGGTGGGGGATACCAGCCAATGGTCCTGGTTACAAACCAGTAACACCCTCCTGTGGTCCCTTGCATTTCTTTGCCCTGTATTGGATGGTAATCCTTCTTCCTAAAAATAATAATTAGAAGCTGAATTGCAAGGAAATTTGGTCTGTCGAAGAAGTTAGGCAAAACTCACCTGGAGTTTTTACTTTTCTGAATTTGTTGCTCTTAGTTGCCCATGATTGCTTTCTAAGATAGTGGACTCTGTTGTCTCTGCCCATGTTGATTTATCAAGGTTTATCAATAATAAGCACATTATAAGGGGTTTTGGGGTTTTGGGGTTTTGGGGTTTTGGGG